TCGCTTCTTCCAAATACGTTTTCCTGATTTTTTCCTGAACATTATCGTATTTTCTATGACGATCCAAACGATCCATCGCATTAAATCACGTGACACGTCTTCAAACTAACTCCTCGGCTACCGAAGAAACACAGCGGGAGGGAACAAATTGAGCAAGGCTGATTTTACTTTCACGCGGGAAAGGGAAAGGGGGGGAAAGAATTCTTGGCGGTGAAAATTCCGATCGAACCGATTTCCCCGCTTCTCCGGTTCTCCTGGCTATCGTTCCCATCGATCTAGGAACAGCTGCTGCTTCTCGCGCCGCTTTTCGTCGTACGCACGGACTCGTACGACGCCCGGCCGACCCTGAACTTTCTAAGCTAATTTAAATTCTCGAACGACGCTGCTCGTGGCCGCCGCTCGTAGACCTTTGGTCCCGGCCTCGACCGCCTTACTTCCGGTGAAAACTCTCCGCCTAATCTCTTCTCGATCGATTTTTTATTTCTTCTATTAATCCTCATCTGTAGACGAGAAACTTTTGTATAATATGATATTGAATTCGATATTTGTGCGAAAGTGACAATGATTCAATGTTGTTGAAATGAAGTTATATTTGAGAGGAAAGCACGTTCGAAAGATTTTAAAGTAAATCAGAAATATTGATATATCAGAGGATGTTTCAAATACGAGGTAAAGTTGTTGAAAAGTCATACAAAATTTACATACATGATAAGCGTGTGTTCGCAATTTTTTTCGGGTGAAGATCGTGCATGTTGATTTATGTTTTTTTGAGATAAATTAATGCGTTATTGACGAGCCTCGTGATTCTCTCATTTTATGCAGATTCGCGAAATTCTCGAGATATGTTTTTTTCGACATCGGTATGATGCAAAGAGACGACGATCCTATCGACACATTGTACAGTTAAAACGGTATAATGGATGAAATGCAAATTATCGATGTGATTTATTGGCCAGAAAAAATTCGTGGCCGCGGTCAAAGATGAAAAGGGAAACACAGAAAAGACTTGGGCGATTAGCGATTCCTAGCGAACACGTGTTTGAGATTTATCGCTGGAATCTCCTCGAATTTTATTTTCTTTTTATTTGAGCTAATCGCCATATGGCAAAAACAAATAATGCTATCCAATATTCTTCTTCCTGATTTTATTTGCAAAATATATAGAAAGCATAGAGCAGAAGCGATTTGAATGCTCTCCAATAAAGCCAAAAAAAGAAAAAAAAACTGTTGTATGTACAAACAGACGATAATGGATGCGATCATCCCAGTTTCTCTTTCTCCACTTTGTTACATTACGTTCTCAAACAGCTGTTTCACCATCCAATAAATTTCCATGAAAAAACAATCTCCAACAGTTTCTCGCAAACTCAATTTTCTACTTCACCTGGTACTAACAGGAAAAGTGTCAGAAAACAGCGTATTATTACTGCTTGTGCTTAACAAGATTACCATAAACGTACAAACATAACCTACTCCAAATAGCTATCTTGTCAACTCTTCAAAGATGTACAACTGCGCCACGTAATAAATCCCTAAACACTCGTTGCAATACTCGTACAATAACTTCAAACTAAAACAAACAAACAAACCGCCGCAATGCTTACAAATAAACTCTACTTTCCATTATTTCTACTTTCTCACCCTCAAACCCAATCAAACCATCTCAAACCATCGAAACCAAAGGATAGAAACGAAAGGACTCCACTTTCCATCGCTTCCCACCCTTTTTCTTCAAATCCAAATCATCCTTTCTCCGCATTTCCTTTCCGATACCTCGACATTTTCCATTTCCAAAAAATTGCATCTCCATCTCTCCTCCCCTCCTCCTCTCCTTCCCCAAAAAAAGAATCCTCTCGTCATCCCTGCCATCGTCCACCCACAACACGCCCGTGGCCCGCGTGTAAAAAAAAGAAGAAAAGAAGAAAACAACAACATCGGCGCAGATCTCAGCGCATCGACCTCATCGCTCGGTCTCACCTTCAACCTCGGGGCTGGCTCGTTGCAAGCGGCAAGACACTCGAAAGAGCATAGCAGGGTGATCAAACGGGGAAAGTGGTCGCCCGGAGGAGAGGCTCGCCTGTTCGAGGCGGTCTCTTCGAAAGGCAACCTTGTAATGACCTCAGCTGAACCCTGCCTATGCACTCCGCCAAGGAACGAGGAACGGAAAGAGAAAGAGAGAGATAGACAGAGAGAGAGGGGAGAGAGAGAGGCTAGGCGGAGAGAGGGACTATATTATACAGCCATAACCGTGCCTCTCTCGCACACAG